CAAAAACTATCAGTAATATTTTTCCAAAATGTCCCCACAAATAAACATACTTTTGGTTTATTCACCATTTTCTACAAAAACAACATTGTGGACAGGTGTCTGCAGCACCAGCAACCCACATGAGCATCGGTTTGAGTTCGGGCTGAGCTGCTTCTGCAGCACCTCCCTGGCAATGGGCAGCAGAAGGAGTCTCGAGCGCTTGGACCCCTGCCATCCACACGAGTGATCTGCATAGCGTTCCAGGCTCCCAACTTCATCCGGGCCCAGTCCAAGCCATCGTGGATATCTAGCAAATCAACCAACAGATGGAAGACATGTCTGTTTCTCTTTCTCTCTCTCTTTATAACTCTGACTTTCAAATAAATTAATTAATCCTTAAAATCTTGAGACAGGCAGTGTCCTAGAGGTTAAATTCCCTGCCAAGACACCCGTATCCCCCACAGACGGAAGTCTCAGTTTTCCTCCTGATTCCAGCTTCCTATTAATGTAGCCCTTAGGAAGTAACCGTTTCGGTGCCTGAGGCCCTTGGGGGAGGTTTATTCATCTGGCCCAGCCCCAAATTTTAGCATGCACTTTTGCAACAGACTAAACCAGGGATTAGGAGCTCTCTGTTTTACTGTGTATGTGTATCCGATTCTGGTCTCTGAAAACAGAACTAGAGAGAGGGCAAAAAACCTTCCATCCACTGGTTCACTTTCCCAAAAGCTACAAAGATGAGGCTAGGCCAAGCAAAATCCAGGAACCTGGAATTCCATCCAAGTTTCCCAGATGGGTATCAAGGGCCCAAGGACTTGGGTCATCTTCTGCTTTCCCAGGCCGATTATTAGGGAACAGGATTTTGGAACTGGCACAGACAGAACACAAACTGTTGCTCACACAGAGTATTGCAGACAGTGGTTTAACCTACTACACCAGAATGTCTGCACTCAGTCATTTCCTTACGTATTCAGTTTTGAAGTTTTGTGGAGATAGAAATTCAACATGCTAATCTATATTGACCATAAACTCCTTTTTGTCCATTTTTTTTTTTTTAGATTTACTCACATTTTTTATTGGAAAGACCAGATCTACACAAGCAAGGAGAGACAGAAAGGAAGATCTTCCATCTGCTGGTTCACTCTCCAAGTGGCTGCAATGGCCAGAGCTGAGCTGATCCGAAGCCAGGAGCTTGGAGCTTCTTCCAGGTCTCCCATGTGGGCTGTTTTCCCAGGTCATAAGCAGGAAGCTAGATGGGAAGCAGGACTGCCACCACATGAACTGGTACCTATATAGGATACCGGGCACGCATGGCAAGGACATTAGCCACTAGGCTACTATGCCAGGCCCATCTTTTTTTTTAAGATTTTTTTTTTTTTTTGGAAATTCAGGTATATAGAGTTGAGGAGAGGTATAGAGAAGATCTTCTGTCTGCTGGTTCACTCTCCAAGTGGCCACAACAGCCAGAGCTGAGCCAAGCTGAAGCCAGGAACCCGGAGCTTCTTCTGGGTCTCCCATGTGCGTGCAGGATCCCAAGGCTCCTTTCCAAGGCCAAAAGCAGAGAGCCGGATGGGAAGTGGGGTTGCTAGGACATAAACCAGGGCACGTATGGGATCCTAGAGCATGCAAGTTGAGGACTTTAGCCACTAGGCTACCACACTGGGCCCACCCATCATTATCTTTTTAAAAAGGATATTTATTTATGTGCAGTTTAGGGGCAGTTGTCCCACAATTCGTGACTGTTCAGGAAATGGCAGTATGGATGTAAAGCCTTCATAACCTTAAATAATGAGTCTCATTTCCTTTGAAGGGGCCAATAACAAGAGCTTTAGTTTACTAGCACCGGATAAGCACAACAGTGCTCACTGTGATCTGTGAAGGTAAGGTGCAGTTCTACTTCTACACACAACAGCATGTAATAAAACACTTTTTTCCATATTATTAATTATTCCCCCTAAAAGGAAAATACTTTCCTTGAATCATAAGGCAACTTGCCCTGTATCTCTAAATTTGGGGTTAAGTCTCTTCTCTTTTTGGACTAGCTCTAACACAATTCCCGTACATCTTTCTTTCCTTCTCGTGTGTTTCTTTGTCTGTACACCATCAGTCATCTTTTCCTCTCTTCCAACATTAAACGTCAAATCAGTATCCTCTGCATCTTCTGTGGGCTCCGGAGTCCAGAATCATTTTCTTTTCATTGGTCTATTTGAAAACTCAAAAAGTATAACCTTTCAATCACATTTTCTTCTACTCTTGATTTATAGTGCCCTTTAGAGTGTGTTGGTCTTTTCCTTGGATTACCAGATTGTGACAGCTAGAATTTAATCTCGAATATCTCTCCAAATAGTTAGTTTAGCATCATACACGGAAGAATGGATTTGCAATAAAATGTAGGAAGAAAAGGAATATCAACTCAAAGTTTCTATTCTTCAAAATAGTCTAGAAGAGGACACCAGGGATATATTGCAAGGATGGGGAGCCTTATTACTAACAAGGGCCATTTGATAGTCAAAATATTCATAGGCCAAGAAAAATTACTGAACGAAATATTAACCTGTTCCTGCAGCCAAAAATGGGACCCACTGGTTTAAGCTACCATGTGTAATGCAGCAGCTCACGCAAGTACCAGCTGAGGCCCCAGTTGCTCCAGGTCCCATCTCGCTCCCTGTTAACACATTTGGGGAAAACAGAGGAGAATGGCTCAAGGTTTTAGATACCTGCACCCAAGCAGGAGACCCAAAAGACACTACAGTCTCTCGCCTTCAGACCAGTGCAGCCAGCCCCAACCACTGCAGCCATCTGAGGAATGAACCAGCATCTGGAACATCTCTCTCTCCATCTCACTTTCTTTGTATCTACAACTCTGCCATTCAAATAAATGTAATATTTAAAAAATTTCCCTGCTACCAATTTACTGAATTTCCAAGTCCCATCTGTAGACACCTTGACAGGACCAGACCACATGATTTCTCAGCCTTCCATCATGTTCTAAGGGAGTGAAGAGTACAAATATGAATGCATGCTGAACATTAAATTAGCCAGTGTTGAAGTACCTAAGGATACCAACAGTCTGCTTTAAAAGCAATCGTTGATGAACATTCTTGGGTAGGCTGGACAAGACAGACTTCCACAGGGAAAGGCTAAAAAAGGGAGAGGAGGAGAGAGAAGGCCAATGGAGAATCCCTTTAATTTTTCTGTCCAACTATAGTTTAAGGCTGAAACTCTTGATTCCATAAGGTAAGTTGCTGATCAGTTTTAAAATGCTCCAAATATGGTATTCCTTTCAGACTTTAGCCAACGTTACAACCTTACTGCAATCTACATGACCAGTTTCTAAGATAATTGGTTTTCAATGTTTCTAAGGACCCAACACAAGTAGTTAAACACTACAGACAAGCAAAGTGGATCTACCTGCACTGTCCTGAAATCGTCTTTTAAAAGGAATATGGAATGTGGCAGAAAAACAAATTTTCATTTAGAAAGAGATAAGAAATCTCAATAAATGACCTCTGCCATCTAGATCTACATTTCCTACTCTCAGACAGTTTCAGGTAATTTAACAAAAATGTTCCCGGTTGCAAACTGGCCTGTCTATCCCACCCAAAAGAGTGACCACCCCAGCAACCACAAATGCCACCGGAGGCCTGAGCAAAAGAACCACTGAAAGCTTAGCCTTCATCAAGTTCACCTATACCCGCCTCTGATTATCCGGTCTCATTGGGATGCCCAGGAGCTGGCTGGGATTTTTAAGATCCGGGGGAAAGGATCACGCAGAGGGTCAAGGTAAAAATAATTCCAGACGATGCTGATACACAACAGTCGCTCCCACACGGACTAACCTTCCTAGACTTACAAGACAATGTCATCAAGAAAGGAAGATAAGAAATCAATGAGTTGGCCAACTGCTCCAGATCCGAACAGAAGGGATGCGTGAAATACAAAAAAAAGCAGTATTAACTTTTTTTAAAATAAGTGTAAAGTAATTCCATACTTGTACAATATAAGCGAACACAAAAAAGTCAGAAGACAGGTAACGCTGAGTGTCCTCTAGGACGGGACCTATCATTCCGTTTGTCCCTGTGAAAACACAAACTTCACCTATTCTTTTTTGGTGAGACTGCCTGCACCCTGACTCACTTCAGTTGCCTCTCCTGTAGTAAGGACAGCTGCTAGCTAGTAGGCTGCTATGGCACGGACTTCTTAACAACGATGTTCTGGGATGCACCCACTTCCCTTAGCAGCAACAGGAGTGATTGGAGTAGCATTTCACTTCCCCACATGTCTCTTTTCCAAAAGCTCAGCAACCATCAATCTACCCACACCAGAAGTCTACAAATAACGCCAAAAAGTCAATTCCCCTCCAACTCTAGCTTGGAAGGGCACGTGGCACTAGCCTTCCAGATGGAAACGAAGGGAAAACGAAAGCGCAGGCTGTGGTTTTGCTGGCAGTAGCCACCATTTACAATGTCCCAGGCTAAATAGTCCAGGAGCTTCCTAGGAGGCACGGCGCCGCTGCCTCCTGTCGGGGAGATGACCTAGCACCCATTCCCGCCGGCCTGGAGGCGCGCCTCGGAATGTCATCCAATTCTCAAACCACAACCAGTCACAGCAAATCAGTTTCTTCAGGCTGGCCCGCTGTCTCTCCCCGGGCGCAGGGTTGGCCATGCTAGAAAGGCTGGCAGGAGCGAGGGTAGTCTCAGGCCGCCCGCCTCCGAAATAAAGACACAGTTGTGAGATGTGCGTGCCAAGGAAAGGAGCAGGGAAAACAAATCACAACTTCGCACACTCCACGAACACTCGGCCCTGCGGAGCGGAAGGTCAAAGTGCAGAGAAGGGAGCGGCTACAGTTTCGAGCCGCGGGGACAGCAGCCGAGCGGGGTCCCGCAGCCTGGGATGACCGCACCCACCTCCAACCCAGGGCCTCGGCACGAGGAGGGGTGGTGCGCGGGAAGCAACCGCCCACACAGAGGTGCCAACTCCCAGAGTTGCCTCAGAACTTTCCCGGGACTCGCCACCGCCCTCACCTTACTGAACACCTCCAGGTCGTCCTCGTCCTCGTCGAGATCCAGCACCTCGGCCTGTAGCAGGGCGGAGGAGCCGCTGCTACTGCCCAGGAAGGGAGAGTCGCTGCCCGGCTTTCCTCCATCGGCGCCCCTGGCCGGGAAGCCCGAAGAACGCGCCTGAGATGCCCGGCGCTCGCCCTCCATCCCGAGAGTGCGCGCCCCGCCGCCGCCTCCGCCGCCAGCCCGGCACCCCCGAGCGTGCCCATTGGCTCCCGCGCATCCAGCACCTCCCCGGCCGGCCCGGCTCCAGCCCCTCGGCCGCTGCGCAGACGCGGAACTGCCGGGGCCACAGCGCCTGGCCGGGAAGGGTGGCCGCGGGCCGCCGCGCATCCCCCGCCTGGCCTGGGGCCGCCGGGAGGGGAGCACTGGGGCCCTGCAACTCCCGGCGCGGGCGGAAACCAGGACGGCCGCCCCTGGAAGGTAGACGGGCAGCGCACGCTGTCCCTGCCTGCTGTTGAGGAGGCCACCGAGCAAAGCGTCCGGTTCCCGGGATCCACAGCAGGGCTGGCGGGCAGCTGACCTGGCACCCAGAGAGGAGAAACCGACCCTGTGTTTCCTGCGGTTAATGGTTGCCTTCTTGCTTGCTTCTGATTTTTCGAGTCTGTCCCTATTCGGCTAATAATAATAATAATAATAATAAATAACAAATATAAAAACCTCCTCTGTTTTTGTAATCGATTTTTAACCCAGTAGCTGGAACTGCAGTCATTTCAACGCCAAACCAAGGAAGCTGAGATCTTAAAACTATCTTCTGACACTTTCAAATGTTTCTTGACTCCAGGAAGTCTGCCCGAAGTTCATGAGCAAGAATGTTCTTAAGAGCGGCCAGCAGCTGGCTGCTGCCACGGAAATTGATCCTCAGGCCTTACTCTGCCTTGTGGAAAGTTAGAATTTTTAGTTGATACATTGGAATTTTTTTAAGTGAATTCCAAAAATAATGGAAAATCGAATGCAGATGATTTAGCTTTAAAACTCTGTCAGCTTTTCTCATTTTTTCTCCTCCATTCAGCTTATTTGGTAGGTCCTGTCTAGAGGTTGTTTTTGTTTGTTTGTTTTTTAATGCAATAAAGGATATATATAGGAATTCCTTGTCTGGGACAGTGGAAAATACCTTTATTCATAATTCCAGGCTTGTTCTAAAAGCTTACTCCCACCTCCCACCTAACCTTTCCAAAGTAACTTCAAGACAGGACCCACCATGCAGATTAGTCATTGGCAAGGAGTATCCACATTTGTTGCTGTCCCCTAGGGTTCCTGTACCTAAAATCCTCCCCCTACCCATCGGGGACTCTGTCCCAACTCTTTCAGAAAGATTTGCCATGTGACAATCTGGTCCCAGTTAACAGATTTATTCTGTGTGACAGACTGTATTTGTTTCATATATATGTCATATCCCTTAGTAAACAGAATCTACAGGCCAAAGATCACAATATATATCAATAAACCACAGCTTCAGATGTGCACACTTCACAACTGTCCAATAAGGCTAATGAGAAATACGAGTTATTAAAAGATAACTTCCACTGAACTGCTTCTGCTGAGTGAACAACATTCATTTCCTGCTCATAGTAAAAACCAGGAACTTAATGATACCAGGACTCAGAATTCCCAGGAAGCAAGAGAGCATGGCCAGAAAATGGCCAGACCACACCAAAGCTGCACAGCTTGGACTGTGGAAAACCACGCAACAAAACCAGTGGAGCAGACACAGCTGCCACCATTGCCTGATACTGGATGCTACAGCAGCAACACCTACAGTCATGGACACTCCTGTTGCCACATTCCAGATGTTGGCCTTGAACCCACTACCAAAGCTGCCTGTAATAACCTCCCCTGCTTAACTGCCGCACACAAACACACACACTGGGCCCTTGTTCTATTTCTGCAAGTTGTTAGATTCAAAACCCCAGGGCAAGTGTGGCCTGGAGGTGAGGATCTCAGGTCCCACCTGGCAGTTCTGGGTTGACTGCCGCAGCTCCAGCTCCTGTCTCCAGCTTACTGGTGATGCATATTCTGGGAGGCACCAGTGATGGCCAAGGAAATTGGGTTTGTTCATACACAGAAGGCTGGATAGTGTTCCCTGCTCCCAAACTTCACCCTGGCCCAACCCTAACCAAGATAAGGGGGAGTAAACCAATGGACGACACCTTTCTGTTTTCCTCCCTCTTTAGTGGATGTATTTTAAAAGTTAAAAATAAACAGAAGCAAAGCAAAACAAAATGAGAGAATATATCTACTTCACCAAGTGGCCAAGCTTTATTTATAAGGACGTCTAAGACAGAAACTTCTCTTTAAAAAAAAAAAAGTACATATTGATACTGTTCACAAAAAAGAGATTCCTACTATAATTAATTTTAACTGTCCAATATTAATAACCTTTCTTTATGTACTTTGTTTATAAAATAAAAAACCTGCTTTTATCTAATCTTTGTAAATACCCTATAATGCAGGTGGTAATACTACCGTCCCTATTTTACAGATACAGAATGATGGTGAATAAAGCTTAATATTTTACCCAGGGTAAGAAGTTGCAAGTGATTTATTGCTCATTGAAAAGAATGCTACATACACACGGATGTTAAAAATAGAAAAGATTTATAAGGCTAGTCAGGGTTTTTCGTTTCTTGGAATTTAGCGGAGCAGATAATGCTACAGTCCTTCGACCAGTCCTGCAAACTTGTATTAAGAATCATTTAAATTCATGGAGTCAGTGTTGTAGCACAGTAGGTAATCCAACCCTGCAATACCAGCATCTCGTATGAGTGGCAGTTTATGTCCCAACTCTTACCACTTCTGATCCTGCTCCCTGCCAATGTCCTGGAGAAAACAGCAGAATATTGTCCAAGTGCATGGGTCCCTGGCACATTTATGGGAGAGCCAGTAGAAGATCCTGGCTCTTGGATTTGGCCTGGTACAGAGCTGGCCACAGTGATCATCAGATGAACCAGCATGTAGAAGGTTCCTTTCTTTGTCTCTGCCTCTCTCTGTGTAACTCTGAGTTTCGAGTTTAAAAACAAACACTTTTATGAAAGAATCTTTAAATCCATAACTGAGCTTACAACAAACAAATTTACTTCTAAGGATAGTAAATAAACTAACCTTACATGAAACAACAGAAGATAAAAGATTAAATGTATCCTCTGCCTGCCCCCAAAGTAGAATGAATAGAATGGTTGTAAATAATCTAAAGCGTTTGGGTTTAAAGTTTCATGAAGATTAACAGACATATAAACCTAAAAACTATTCAGTCAATGACAAAAAAAATTCTGGGTCTGCACAGGATCCTTGCTGGAAAGTTATCTGCCCAATACTATATTGAATACCAGTGATGAGAGGACATCCTTGTTAAGTTACCAGTCTAAGTAGAAAAACTTGCAGTCTTTCCCCATTTAGTATGATTGGGTTTTTCTATATTGCTTTGATTATGTTATACAATATTCCTAATATGCCTTCTATGCCTATCTTGCTCAGTAAATTTAAAAACATTTCAAAATTATACCGTGTATCTTCTCAGATCTTGCTGGAATGAAGTTAGAGATCAATAGTTCAAAACACCCAGAAATACATGCAAAAACATGGAGACTGAATAATATGCTACTAAATGAGCAATGGGTTAGAGAGGAAATCAAAGAGGAAACTTAAAAACTGCTTGAAACAAATTAAGACATGAACACAACATATCCAAGCTTATGGGATATGATCAAGGCAGTGTTAAAAGGAAAGTTCATCACAATCAATGCCTATGTGAAGAAATTAGAAAACCACCAAGTAAATGAGCTAACCTTACAGTTGAAAAAGCTAGGAACAATAGCAAACAAGCTCAAGATTATCAGGAAAAAAGACATAACCAAAACACAGGAGGAAATAAACCAAATAAAGACCAAAGACCAGAGAACAATACATAAGATCAATGAATCAAAGAGCTGCTTCTATGAGAAGATCAACAAACTAGATTCCCCAATAGCCCAACTGATCAAAAGAGGAGGGAGAAGATGCACATCAATTGCACCAGAGACAAAAAGGAAATGTAACAACAACTCAGACATACACAGAAATGTTAGAAACAATTACATGCAACCATATGGTAACAAAGATGTTCAGAAGACCTAGGAAAAATGGATAGATTTTTGAACATGTACTAGCTGCCAAAATTGAATCATGAAACAATTAGTAATCTAAGTAGACCTATAACTTAGAATGAAATAGAATTAGAAATTAAAGCTCTCTCAACCAATAAAAGCCCAGGACCAGAAAGTTTCATTGCAAACTTCTACCAATTGTTTCAAGAAGAACTTACCATGATTCTCCACAAGCTTTTCTAGACAATAGAAATGTAGGCAACCCTTCCAAACTCTTTCTAAGGCAGATACAGACATGACAGAAAAAGAGAACTACAGATATCCCTGATGAACAAAGATACAAAGATTCTCAACCAAATACTAGCCAATGGGATCCAACAGTACATTAGACAGATCATGCATCCAAACCAGGTGGGATTCACAGCAGACATGCAGAGATGGTTTAGCATTTGCAAATCAATGAATGTGATACACCACATCAACAAATGAAAAATAAAAGCCATATGATCATCTTAATAGATACAGAGAATGCATTTGATAAAATCCAACACAAGTTCATACTAAAAAAAAAAAACTCAATCAAGTTAGGCATAGAAGGAATATACAATACACAATCAAAGCAATATACAAAAGAAACCCAATGCCAACATCATACTAAATGGAAACTGGAAGCTTTTCCACTAAAATTGGGAACTAGACAAGGATGTCCACTCTCACCACTGGCATTCAATATACTGTACTATTGCCAGAGTTATTAGGCATTGTTTTGCCTCTTAACCATAAATTGATTCACACTGTCTGCTCTACCCTAGTGGAAATGAGCCTTGTAAATATTTCTTTTTTAAAATATTTATTTTTATTGGAAAGGCAGATATATAGAGAGGAGGAGAGACAGAGAGGATAATCTTCCATCCAATGGTTCACTCTCCAAGTGGCCGCCATGGCTGGAGCTGAGCCAATCCAAAGGCAGTAGCCAGGATCTTTTCCCAGGTCTCTCATGTTGGTGCAGGGTCCCAAAGCTTTGGGCCATCCTTGACTGCTTTCCCAGGCCACAGACAGGGAGCTGGAAGGGAAGC